TAGCAAGACCATTGGCAACAATGCTCTTCGCTGCTTGCCTCACAATATAGGCTCCACTTCTGTCAACCTTGGTAGGGTCCTTCCCTGAGAAAGCACCACCTCCATGAGCACCCCACCCACCGTAAGTGTCGATGATGATCTTACGGCCAGTGAGACCAGCATCACCATGAGGGCCACCGATGACGAAACGGCCCGAAGGGTTGAGGTGGAAAATGGTTTTCTCATCAAGATACTTCTCGGGGATCACGGGCTTGATGACATGCTCTTTGAGATCACGAGCAATTTCATCATTTGTAACAGTCTCATCATGTTGAGTGGAGATCAAAACAGTGTGAACGCGTAGGGGAACCATGGCTCCATTATCATTGTGGTACTCAACGGTCACTTGGGTTTTACCATCAGGTCTAAGCCAAGCACAAGTACCATTCTTGCGAACCTCAGTAAGGCGAGCTCCAAGTTTGGTAGCAAGAACATGGCTAAGGGGCATCAACTCAGGTGTCTCGTCAGTGGCATAGCCAAACATGTGACCCTGGTCACCTGCACCAATCTCCTCGGGTCGCTTAGTCAAATGACCATGAACACCTTGAGCAATATCAGGGCTTTGCTGCTCAATGTTCACAAGGACCTTGCAATTGTCAGCATCCAAACCCACATCAGCAGAGACAAATCCAATTTCCCGGCAAGTGTCACGTACAATCTTCTCGTAATCAATAGTAGCCTTGGTGGTGATCTCACCAAAGACCATAACCAAGTTGGTCTTGGTGCAAGTCTCGCAAGCAACTTTGCTTTCAGGGTCCTGAGCTAAACAGGCATCAAGCACTGCATCTGAGACTTGGTCACAGAGCTTGTCGGGATGTCCCTCGTTGACCGATTCAGATGTGAACAAGAAAGTCTCCATTGCTCTAAATCTGCACAGATAAATTGAATGACATCAGTAACGACGGCAACAGGCCATGGAGATACTCAAAATGAAAATGAAGAGAGAAACAGCAAAGTAAAATTAGCAAAGAGCAATGTGAAGATGCTTCAACAATGTAACCTTTATAGTTTGAAACAGTAAAGTCAATTTTACATCTCATGAGTACTTTAGCATGCACAGTACAAAGGCGTGGCAATAAAGAGCAAGAGAAAAAGAGTAGAGTCTTTCTCAAAATCCAATATATAACCCATTAATGCTCGTGCACCTTCACTCAAGCTTATAGTAACTCAAGCTATATATGCATGTAGAAGGATCAAAAAAAGGACTTTCAAAACCATATCTTTTTACTATATTATACATATCTACAGAAAAGTTATAAAAATACTGTCTTTCTAACACACAACATATATGTCCTTGTTCTTAATTGGCCTAAAATCTTAAAAATACATATTGCACATTAAAACCATTAAGTTGGCAGAAAAAGGAGGAAAAATTGCAGATCTAGAAAACAAAACAAAACCCAATAAAATGGCTACAATTGAGGTCTACTTCCATAAAAATGAACTGGGTCGAGTTAAAAATGAAAACTCTAAACCATAAGTAGTATAAATCCTATAAAATTTTAGCAAGAAAGTGAAATTAGCATGGCGTTTACATAAGAAATGACACAACCAGATGGAAAAATTGAGCTAAAACAGCATTTTGAGACATAAAAATTGCACATTTAACTTAAATTGTTCACAAAAAGGTGGCTATAATTGAGATCTACTTTCAAAAGAGCGAATTAAAAATGCAATCTTCAATCCATAATTAGTAGACATTCTCATAAAAATTAGCATGGCCTTCGCATCAAAAAGAGATACATGCGGAAAAATTGAGCTAAAACAGCATAGTTCTTGTCATCAAAATTGCATTTTTTAACTTAAATTTATCACATAAAAGGTCAGATCTACTGAAAACAGCTATAATACTTGAAAAATACGATGCAACAGAAGCAGATCCAGTATTTGCAATTTACGGTTTGAAATTTCAGCTCCTTTGAATTATTATGTTTTAACTTAATAATTTATACATATTCAAGAATTTCTTAAGATAAATACAAGACTTGGACAAAATTACTAAGTTCAGCCAAACACAAGAAACAACTATACAAGAAATGATATATATACAGAGAATGAAAGAGATTGACCTTAGGTGGGGGAGTAGAAAGTGGTGTAAGGGCGAGGAGGAAGTGAAATGGAGGAGGAGATTATATAGGAAAAATTGAGAGTGTCCCTTTTCTCATAATTTTGGGCTAGATTCATTTTGGGATTTTTTTTGGTAGGTGGGGGTGTTTAATCAACGGCTCAGGATTAATCTAAGTTATCGAGAGAACCGTTGGATGAGCCAGTTGAGTATTAAGGAATTTAGCATATAAGGCCGTCGGTGGATCTGATATAACCGACGCGGTTTTGCCCCCACCGGCCACCGCACCACTAATTCCGGTTCGGTCCACTCGTTTTCTTCTTTATAAAATTCCTTTTTCTTTTTTGATCAGCCCCTAAATAATGGAAAAACTTATGCACTAGTGATTGCAATAAATTAAATCATATAATTATGGCTAGTTAAGAGTTGTCTTATACATGATGTTAAATAAAATCTTAACAAAATGAAAAATTTTACGCAATTTTTATTTTTGGCTTTCATGGGAAATTTTTATGTAATATTTCTTAATGTTGGTAAGAAATATAATAAATAACAGGACTATGTTAAAATTAAACCCTTTTACAGTTTGTTTGGATGGTTGTTACCTATATTGTAACGTATTGTTCAAATTTTATTTTATCATATCGTTAAATCTGTCGTTATATAAGGACGAAAAGTACTATTTTATGTAACGACCGATTTGATATAGCCGTATTGTTACCTTTTCTTTTTCTCTTGCCCTTTATTATTATTAAATAATCCTATTTTAGCCTTTACACTACCTTTTATATAATAATTCTATCTCGTACCATACTTTTTTATGTAATACTGTAAGTTTTATTTTTGATGTTGTTGGTGTGTGACACCTTAAAACGATGACAAACATTTGGGAGATGGTTGGGAGACTGAGGCATATAATTGGGAAAAAAATTTATTAGATATTTGCACTAGATCAAGAGATGCATAATATGTATTTGTAACTAATATCGTAGTTAATTTAGTTTGTGATTACTAATGTTAAATAATTGGCCTAATGCTCTTTTAGAGTAAATTGAAACTAATTCAACATTGAATATGAATATTAATATTTGTTTACGTCTGTAGTATCTTTCCGTTGGTAGTCTATTGTTTCACTTCATATAGTCTAGACTAAATTTAAGAATATTATATTCTATAGTCCCACAAGGAAAAATAATAGCTACCAAGTTATATTTTAAATTGCTCATATTATTATAACACATAATTTTGTACTGAACAATAAAGCCGTGCACACGAGGACACAACCAACCATATGTTTGTTTTTAAATTTCGAAATAAAATTAACCATTCATTAGCCACTGTGATCTAATAATGATGATATTAACTTAATTGATTTCTTTCCTTTTTCACGAGCATATAATCGGATTCTTGTCATAAATAATTAGCAGTAACTAATAATAAAACAAACAGTCATTACATAAGCCAATTATGCAAGTACTCATATAGTTATATTTGTACGAAATAATTTGAAGATCTTACATGTTTATTCCCAAATATATATTATATGTTTGGGACCCACATTTGCAAAGTACATGTTTGAAATAAAATACTTATTGGATAAATCTCTATTTTTCTCTTGGGGTGAACGTGTGGGTGGTTAATAACGAAGAGTTAGATGCAAATTGCTAGTTAAAATATCATGGTATAGCCAGTTTTCACACTGGTTAATGAAAAATAGCCAGCGTTTATCAAGTCAATGAAAAATAACCACTATTTTGCTGCAACAGGGACCGGTCCAGTATAATATACGGGAGTTCTGGTGCATTTGTGTACGAACTCCAGCATATTATGCTGGACCGGTATACTTTGCTAACTCCTGTAAAATTTGCGGGAGACTGGAGCACCAGTGCTCCAAACTCTAGTATATTATACTGGACAATTATACTTGTTGGAACTCCCGTAAAATTTGCGGGAGTTCCAGCATAATTATGTTTGAACTCCCGTAAAATTGAACAGTGTTTTCGCTCAGATTTAAAGTGGCTAAATTTCGATGACTTTTGAAACTTGGCTATTTTTCAACGACCAGTGGTAAATCTGGCTATTTTTGAATTTCTCCCAAATTGCTAGTATAAACATTAATAAACTAATTTTACCTAACTTAACTAATGTTTTCTTTAAACTGCCTCATGGCATTTTCTTAACGTGACTTGGCAAATTTTGAAGGGTGACTTCTTTCCTTTTAATAATAGATAGATAGATTCAAAATTTGCTAATAAAAGATAACGAGTGTGCGATAATAGGTTAAACTAAAGTGATATCAATTTACAGCAGCAATTCACAATAAGTGGGAGTGGGTTTGGAATCAAAAAGGTCATATATATGTTGTAAAAGATATGTTGTATACCGATCTCGTGGAGCTTAGTTTCTCCATATTTCTTGGCGTAACCGGTAAAGTTGTTGCCATGTAACCAGGGGTTCGAGCCGTGGAAACAGCCTCTTGCAGAAATGCAGGGTAAGGTTGCGTACAATAGACCTTTGTGATCATAGCCCTTCCCCGGATCCCACGCATAGTGGGAGCTTACACCGGGCTGCCCTTTTAGTTTCTCCATAATGCATACAAGTGTACAAATTACCATCAAATGAAGTGTTCAATATTCCACCTGACAATGGATTGGAACCTAGCATATTTGCATTCAACTAATTTGAAGCTTTGGCCCTATGTTGCACAGAGCTTGTCGAAAACTCTGCAAACACAGATATTAGCTTCCCTGTTTGGCCATTCCACACATGCACTGTCTCATCACAGGAAGCTAACCTTCCACTGCATGCAAATGACAGATAAATGCACAAAACTTAAAAATAAGACTTAAAACATGGTATAGCCAGAGACTTATAATAAGATTTAAAACATAATACAATCACATAACTTTTTGCAAGAATATAGATCTTAGCAATAGAAACAAGACCAGCAATTCACACAATTTTTTGCAATACTAGAAACTGAAACAAGAGAAATATAGGGAGTAACAATGATTCTGCAACACCGGTGCAAAGTTAACAACTTAACTACACTTGCATGCCAAACTTTAAAAACTACAGTTCAAGTGCCTCTTTCCATGCATCTTGTGACTCTTCCTCTACATTCAGCTCAGAAAATCAACCAAACTTCCTGCAAAGAAAGTAAGAAACCAGATTGGTTATCATAAGAAAATTTAGACAAGTAAATATATAGAAAGATTACCATAGCCGGCCATGTTTGCATTTCAACATAATAATCCTATCAGCTAAAGGACTAAAGCATGCATGGCCAATAACACTACTCAAAACTTTGGACACTAAACCATGCTCATACCCATGTGAAATTCATAAGTAACTTATGGGTGGAGTTCAGCTCAAACATTGATCAGTATAAAGGTGGGAAATGTTGAGTTTACCAGCTTTTGGAGTGATAAATAATTTACCTTTGAAGATCACCTATCCTGACCTATATCAGCAGGCTAAATTCCACAAGCCACACACACAGTCAAGCAATTACTCTTAGCACATCACTTTTCAAAGAGATCTGCACTAAATAGTCTGGTAGATTTCTTTAAAAGATTGGAAATGTAAATGTGCCTATAACTCATTTTTTAGGGAAAGATCTCATCTCCTAAAATTTAGATGCCTTTCATATCCTTTTTGCTGGTCTAACTTACACTATGTACATAACAGTGACCAACACAGAGATTTGTTAACTGCTGGAGCTAACTTCTTCCGTATTTTGCAACCTCTAGATGCTATTTTGGCCATTATGTCTATATAAGCAACATATCAGGACAATTTCTGCATAGATAACAATGTGCCAATGCCACACCATGTAATTAACTCAAAAATTGAGGTGCAGATTTAACAGTGATATGTACATTCAGCGATGCAAGAACAGTATCAGCACTAATATAAGTTTTCTTGTTCTATTTGATTCTCGTAAAGGTGTGTTTTCTCTTCCTCTAGAATGGAACCGCCTGGCTAACTATATTCAGGATAAGTAGGATGCCGTCGAGATCTGCCAGTGCATTGATAGAGACTACATAAACAAGACTTCACCAACAAGTAAAAAAGGCAAAAAAGATGTTGAAAGTATCATGACAGAAGTATATTGACAGTTTGATGAAAACATAGGTCAATGAAACATGGCTGTTCTGTTGCTGAACCACAAACATAACATCAAAGCAATAGAAAGTACTAAGCAATCTGAGAGATACCTTTGAGAAAATGGGCAGCATAGCAGACCAATCAAAGCTCCATTATTCATCAGTGGTACGAATTGTGAGGCCTGGTATTCCTCTTGATCTACTTGACATCGAGCTGCAACAATTTCACTTCCTCTGACATCTATCTTCCGCAGAGAAATAGGCATCCTTTCTGGCAATTTCCCTACTGCCGGGCACCTTATGATCTTTAATATGGTGAGAGAACCGAAGATGTCAAGAGAAGGTAAACTTCTTAGGCTGGGACAATTTTTGCATATGAGAACACGAAGAGAAGGCATGTTCCCGGATATTAAATCCACCAATCGTGTCAGCGTCAACATGTTCCGAAATTTGAGTGACTTCAGTGACGGGAATCCCTCAAAGAAACCAGCCTGAGCTTCTTTTACCAAAGGCATATCTTCAATGCAAAGAGATTCAAGGAGCTGGAGATGTCCAAGAACTGGGAGCGACGGGCACTCAACACACCTCTTCAAGTGAATGCTTTTAAGATTGAAACCTGAATCGATCAACCAACGTCGAGGAAATTGACAACCATAGTAGCCTGTTATTACCAATTTCTCCAGATTTTCATGAAACTTAACGTGACCAAGGACAACTAGTGCTTCATGCCCAACTCTACGAACGACCCATTCCAACTCAAGTTCGTTGAGCAATGACATCATGTGTAAGTTGGCCTCTAATACCTGAGTTTCATCTTTTACATTTTCAAATCTGAAGAGGTGAAGTGATCCCTTGAGAAATGTCATTTTCTTTAGTTCCACAATAGTATAACCTTCAGCTTCACTAACCACAAATGTAGACAGGGTTTGAAGATTTGTTAATTCTACAATGGCATGTTGTCTATTTGCCAACAATTATCAAACTGAAGATGCCGAAGGTTTCCCAGATTCCTCAAGCTTGCAGGGAGATAAGAAAGTTCTTCGCAACTATTCAACTGAAGTGTCTGCAAATAAAAGAGTTTACCTATTGATTCTGGTATATATCGTAAAAGATTACCAGATAGATTAAGGTAACGGAGGTACATTAAATTGCCAATTGTGTCTGGAAGCTCAACAATGTGCCCATGACTCAAATCCAGAACTCTTAGCAGACTAAAATTTTGGAGGAGATAAGTTGTTGCGTCACCAACACCTGCGTCGACATTCCGACATGTCAAGAGGAAGGTCCGCAATCTTTCACACTTGGGGAATTCCTCCATATATTCATCTGACACCAAATTGTTGCAACAGAGCGACAAATGACGAATGTTTCCAAGTGAGGGGTAACATGTTGGCTTTTCATCCTCCATCTGCAAACATACGTCTGTAGAAATAAATTGAGCCATCTCGCGAAAGAAGTCATGCATATTGTATATCTTCTTCTTTTCTAAGTAAAAGAATGACCTCCCAGCTAGATCCTTAAAGTACTGCTTACCGATGCATTCCAAAGTTATTTCACCCATAGGCTGAATGAGACCTTCGGCCAACCACATCAAGACTAAATTGTCCTCTTCAAACTTATAACTTGCAGGGAATAGAGCACAGTAAGCAAAGCATTTCTTTAATTCTACAGGAAGACAACGGTAGCCCACAAATCACTTTTCAAAATCGCATCCCACTCCTCAAAAGGAATGCAACTCATTGTACTCGCAAGTACATATTTTAGCTATTTCCAGACCTATTGCATCAACATTCTCCCCTGCGCCAATAATGTTGTTGAGAATTGCCCTTTGCCCTTTGTCATGTAAAAAATGTAGCAGGTACGGGTCCGAACCAACAACATTTCATACTCCTCTACTTCGAGTAGTAATAATAACCTTACTACCATTGTAACCAAATCTTAAAGGTGCGGATAGGATTTCCCAATCACTATCCTTCTCGCTCCAAAAGTCATCTAACACAAGCAAAAATCTTACACTACGAAGCAATTTTCTAAGTGTTTCTTGACTCAATGATTGATTTTGTGATCCTAACCACATCAAAGTCCATAGATACTGAGACCCACATCCTAAAATAGAAGAACTCTTTGACTTTCTCATCATTGTAAACAAGTCGGGCAAGTGCCGTTTTGCCTATTCCTCCCATACCGACAATGGGAATTATGGATAACTTGTGGCTAGGCATATATATATATATATCACATAGTAACTTCTCTACAATCTCTGCCTTCTGAATCTCTCTTCCAACAATTATGGAGTTACCAACAAATGAAGTGCTGCTGGAGGATGTCACTACTTGTGTAGTCTTTTCAGATTTGAGTGATTCAAAACTCAAGAGTTTGTCCATTTCTCCTGCAAGATCTTCCAACTTTTCTCTCAATTTGCTAATTTCATGCGGCACGTTTAGTTTGCCCGACGTCAAAATTTTCTTGCGTAAAGGATGTTCTTCTTGAGATGAAGAAGCATTTGCTGCATCTTTGACCCTATTATGATGATCAAGCTCTAATGAAATCTCATCTTCAACAACACGGGCAACTGTCTTGACATCTTCGAGCCAGAGCTCCCATGCCTTTTTGCTTCTTTCGCTGGAGAAACAATTACAATGGCCATCCTCCACCCACTCAATCATAGCCATTACTTTTGACACGCATCTTTCTAACCTTCGTAACTCAGCATCAACGTTCCAGAATTTGCTAATTTCTGATACAGCAAACTTCGCTATGCCTTCAAGTAGTATTAACGCTGCACCAGCAATAAACCCTGCCCTCACCTCTTCTTTGAAACCCATGGCACTCCTGACATAAAAAAAATTAACCATTAGCTACTACAAGTGGTGAAAACAAACCCACAATATTATTCCATAATACCTAGTAAAACAAACCCATAAAGATGAAATCTTTTCTTTACTTAAAAGAAACCCATTGGACAAATATAAGTGAAATACAGAGTATCAAGCAATCATGCATAACGTATAATAAGTAAAATAAAGGAAAAGGAAGACAATAAATAAGCACCTTTAAGAAATGCTCTCCTGCTGCTAGCTCCTTCGAGAAACATTACTCCCTCTGCCTCCTCCTAGCTCGCTCGTTGGACAAATGCCCTAGTAATAAACGCGCCTATTGAGCAGAAGAAATATCCTTTTAATTTATTTCAAGATTTACTACTCAATACTTGACGTACATTCTATATGTTGAGCATTCTTTCATTTTTTTCAAAATACTTACAACTATAAATTGATACTAATAGTTAGAAACAAAACAAAACAAAAAAATTGTTTTCCTTTTCCCTCACAACACATATCTTAGTAGGGGCTCGTTAATTAAGTACTCATTTTTTCCTAATTTATGTGTTGCATTTTGGAGTTCTGAGAGTCAAACTTATTAATTTGATCATCAGTTCGGATATAGAATCTTTATTTGAAAATTCACCCGGTAATTACAATTGATTGATGTAACTATACAATATACTAATTACGATGAAATATTTGTTTCTCATAACGTATTTACAATGTAATTACAATCGTATTGATTGGTTGCACAAGTGTCATTACATAATTATACTAAAAATAAACAACATGCAATATGAAGTAACAACTCAATACTCTAAAATAAGTAAATTGGATATATATAGTTTAACATATGTCAAATTCCAACATAATAAAAATAAGTTCCAATACAACATAAGATTAGGAAACATAATAAGTTTAGAGGAATTTTCGGAAACCACTATTGTTTAGTGACTATTAATTTTCTATAGCTGCCATTTACATAATTACTTCCTATAGCTACTATTCAGTTGTTACGGGACTGTATTTGCTATACTCGTGCTACTGTGTTCGTGAATACAGTAGCAGAAATCGCCTAAAAACAGTGGAGTCCAGCTGTGCGCGATTGTATTCACTATATTCGCGCTACTGTATTCATGAATACAGTAGCGTAAATCGCCTAAAAATATGGGTCCAGTTGTTTAAACGGAAAGAGGATCAATTGGCGTGTATCACTCTTTATTTAACTCAACAAAATCAATTCTAAAAAACAAATCGCTGCTACTATGTTGTATTCCATGTATTCATACGACTTTATTTATAAATATATTGAGGTAGAAAAAACAAGGATTACAAATGTTTAATTGTGTATTCCATGTATTCGCACAAATGTATTTATAAATACAGTGAGGTAATCCGCCTAAAAAATAGTGATTACATGTGTTTAATAATTGAAAGCGCAATATTGAATTATATTCAATTTCACTATATTGAATTTAGTTGTATTCAAACAACAAAAAATCAAGAAAATAGGGGGCATACCGTTCTATTTAGTTTTATTGTATACATTGTATTCAATTCACACATATTCACTATTATACATTGTATTCAATTCACCGTATTCAATTCGACTGTATTCAAACAACATAAAATCACAAAAACACATTGACATTTGATTGTATTTAAAAAATACAGACCTTCGGAATACATAAATACGGGCGAAAAAAGAATATATTTATACAAAAATATAATGTATTTGAGTGAATTTGTACATAATATAATATATTTGTATCATTGTATGTGACTAAATAGCAAAGAAGAGAAGAAAGTTCGCCGGATATGGCGTTTTCCGACCAAGTAAAATATTGTATATACTATATTAAAACTAAAAATGGAGACGAACAAAAACCCGACCCTCAAATCTTCTCCGGCATAGAAAATATTGCAGTATCTGTCGTTCATGTTACACTACCCATGCTTTACTCGGATTATTCCGACATCATTTTTGCTCCCCGCACAGTGGCCCAGCCTCGGAGTGACGAGCTCCTCCTTGCTATGGAGGAATCTGATTTTGAAGAAAAGGTCTATCTTTCCCCTCTTTCTCCCAACAGTTTAGAAGTATTTTAAATTGCAGTAACCCTAGGGGATTCGGCCAGAGAATGCACGATTAGAAGCAAATATTATGCTCGAAGAGAGAGAAGGAAGAGAGAGAAGAAAATTTTTGTTGAGGTTTTGAGAGAGAATCATTTGTTAATTGAAAGAAAGAGAGAAAACATAAATAGAGTATTTCACCCCTTAATAGTAGTGTATATCATAAATACCTATTTTGCTATAAAATATAAAAGGTAGCTATAGAAAATAATATTTTAAAATAGTTTTAGACTTTTTGTTTATAATAAATAGGGTGTATACCTTTACTATAGGAGGAAATTTTTTAATAAATTTATAACATCATTCAACAACGAATATAGAAACTACTTAAGGCCCTAAGTTTATACCAAATTCAATTACATGGTGGGTTTTCAAACATGCCCTAAGTTTTTTGGAATAAAACTTATATGAGAGAAACTACTTAAGAAGTAATGTAAGCCACTATAATTAACAATTCAAAATATCTAAAAGACATTTAAAAAAATTACGATTAAAAAAAACTCATTGGACTCTCAAATCCGAACACTGTTACATAAATTGGGACGGGAGAGTAGCCGATCCTAGGTTTATTGCTTCGAATTTAGTAAAACTTTGATTATGAAACATTAGTTTACTACATTTAGTTATACTCTATTTTATTTCATTTTATGTGAATCTATTACTATTTGGGAAGTCAAATAATATTTTATTTATCAATATTATTTGTATATAATTTTTAAATATTTAAATTATTAACCATGTGATTTATAGTATTTTTTATGTAGTTTTTAAATATTTAAATTTTATTTTAAAAATAAAAATTTATGTCCAAATTCACATTAAAAATTAATCAATTTAACTCTGTACTCCAAAAAAGAGTTGGGCAAATATTTTTTCTAGTGTTTACTAAATAAATAAAATATTATCCCAAAATATTCATATAGTTAGGCAA